GGGGGGGGAGGTGTAGTCAAGGCCAGTGCTCAGTCCGTAACAATCACAAAGTTTGTTGGAAGGAAGGGGACCTCAAAGCAGTTGAAAGGCCTTCTGTCCTAGGACGATTCGACGATGCTCCATGGTTTCCACTGGATGTCCAGGGAGTTAGTCAATTCTGAAAATGTGTTGTGCGGGTCCTGCCACAGCTGGCGGTAGGTAAGCACAATGGTTTCTTTAGCTGCCTGCTCCTTTTCCTTGTGGTACGCCTGTTTCATTTCTTTCCATGCTTCATGCGTCCGGGCTCAAATTTCATCTTCCACCGCCTGTTGTGCTTGTTGCAGGCCAAATTGATGGTCTTTTCTTTCGAAGGCACACCTAGCCCGCCATGCAAGCATTAGTATCTGGAGACACATGTAGGAAAAGAGATTGACTGCGTAGGAGGACCATTGGGCCAGCAGTTGCTGGTTTTTGCTGAGTAACAGGAGACCCAGGTCCCAGGGGATGTGATTCCCCATGAGGGAGTGGAATGCTGCGTCCCACCATTGCCATAGTTGGGTGACCATTGGGCATGCCAACAGGCAATGCTCCAGTGTTGCCCGGGCCGGCGGCGTTGCTCTTCCACAGTACGAGCACATGGGGGATAGCAGCCCCTTCTGTTCCAGGTTCGTTCTGGACACCGACCAGTCGGGGGTGAGGAGACATCGGTGCACAATCTGCCACTGTAGAGATCTGAGGTTTGTTGGCATGACCTTAAGAGTACGTGGCCCATGATAGATTGTGCATGAGCTGAGCATCTAACGACGAGTCCCTTTCCCATCTACGGGTCAGTATCTGGTCAAGGGGGATGTCCGGGCGCGAGGTTCGATAGGCCCCTTTAACCGTGTATTCCCAGAAATTCATAACTTCGTGTCCGGGCCACTCCCACTCAGCCGGGTTGAACGGTAGGTTTTCCACTGGTGTGGACGGTTCATACACGTAGTATCCTTTATCACCGTCCCCCACCACCCTCACTTGTATAAGTCCTCCCCAGATCTCAATCCCGTCCTGCTCTTCAGTCCTGGTAATTTTTGAGAATCTGGCATCCGGTAGCTGGGGTTGGTAAGCCTCCAAATAGGCCCGATCTTCCTCCCTCCTATGAACTCTATATATTAGTCGGGGCCGGGCCCGGTCTTCAAACTTGGCCACCCAATCGTTTTGCAGGATATCGGGTCCCTTTTTGAGGGCAAGGCGCCAGACCAGCAGGATAGCCTCCCTCAGCTGACAAGCATTGGCTTCCACCGACTTGGCATGCTTTAATCTGCGCTGCAGCTGGTCGGTGGTAGCCCAGTCTTCTTTAATCGGGTCCCACAGGTCCCCAACAGTATAGACCCCTTTCTTTGCCCAGGTGAGCCATGGCGAGTTGGAGGAGAGGGAGAAGGGGCTGCCTGCATCATCGAGGATAAAGGGGTTGCCAAATAGCGGCTGCCTCCATACATTGTGCCATCTGTTCGGCGACCGTTTCAGCTTCGGGCCTCTCTTCCTCCAGAGCTTGAGCATGTTGGGCCACAGCGGCTCAAGGGGGATATCCAGCCTGGTGGCCTGCGCCGGAGTGCGAGGATGTGGCTGATGTGGAGGGGCGGGTATTGACCAGTGGGAATTAGTGAGCCATCTGAACGGATGCACTCAGGCCGATGCCGCCGTCTGCGGGGCCAGATTAGCTATTTGCAGGCAGGCCAAGGGGGCCCAAGGGATATCGTTCCCTATGAGAAGCCTGACCAGAATCTTGAAGATCAAGGCTTCGCTTTCCCTTTCTGGGTCCAATATCCCAAGCCCCCCTGCGACTCTTGGCTGGGTGAGGATGCCCCAGCTGACTCTGCTCATACAGCTATGGGAATCCGCACTATTTTTCCAGAGGTAGGTCGTTAGTGCCCTTCTCAATCTTGTGTATTGTGGAGGTTTGAGCGCCCATACCGCTAGCTTGTACCAGATGGCCGCCAACACAGCATTGTTGATTGCCAACGCGCGGCCCACCAGGGATGTGTGCAGTCCGTCCCATTTGGCCAGGGGATCAACTGCCATGCTGACCAACGCATCACCGTGATCTGACGGAGGCCCCAGGGCTGTCAGTCTCACGCCCAGTATTCGTTTTGCTTCTTCTCGAGGCGCCCATGCGATATTTGGTTCGTGGGGGGGTGGCTGTCCTTGGGGATATAGCCACCATCCTTGTGTTTTGGACCCCCAATTAAGTTTCACATCTGCGGCCAACGAAAAGAGGTGTATTACATGAGTAACGGCATTCAAGCTGGTCGCATCAGCCCTGATGAGCACAGTCAGGTCGTCTGCAAACAGTGATGTGACCGGGATGAGATGC